CTGGAGCTGATAACCAAGGAAGAATTCTGGAGATGTCTTTGGTGCAAAAAGGTGATTTTATTAAAACTTGGTGACAGGACCCATGGGCAGAGAGCGCTGCACTGGGGTCACGCAGAGTGACCCATTATACACTTTCAAGTTGAGAGGGGATTAGGGATAGCGTAAGCCTCTAATGAATTTTGGAAGGAAGGTTTCCAGGACCTTGAGGGGGCTAGCTATTGTTAGGAAAAGGTCATTTATTACTGTCCAATAAAACCTTAGTAATGAGATCCTTCAGATGTATATCAGTGGGTCATATGCTTGGGGGATGATTGCCAACATGTATCATGCGGTGGGTAGAGATAAAGGAAGTTTCCAAAGGAATTTTTGTATGTTAAAGAAGACTTACAGGCTCCCGGGGGTTGGGCTACAGTTACCTTTTACCCTTAGCAAAGTGTCAACATCTAGGCAGTTGAGTCCCTAGAGGAATGTCACTCTGCCTGTTACAAAAACTTGTCAATGGTCTGTAAGTAGTAAGGAAATTAAGTAATTTTTCTCCTGCCTTCATTTCCCACATCAAATTCCAGTGCTCTCTGCTGGGTTAATGGCAGCTTTACTGGGCCTGCAACACAGTTTAACTTTTGCCTCTGCCCAATTCTGCTTCCTGATCCTTCCCTTTACATATGTTGGTACCTAATAAATACCTTGCTCTCTCAATGCCACCTCAGCATTTGTTTCCAGAGAGTCTGACAAGCAGTAGTAGCACACAATCATTCCTTATCAAAAACAAAACAAAGTTGGGGGGTAACTGGCTTACTCAGAGTCAGAGGAGCATGCAACTCTTGCTCTTGGGGTCGTGAGTTCGAGCCCCATGTTGGGTGTAGAGATTACTTAAATAAAGAAAAAGTTAAAAAAAAATTAAAAAGGAAAAGTACATAGGGACACCTGGTTGACTCAGAAGAGTGTGTGACTCTTGATCTCTGGGTTGTGAGTTCAAGTTCCACGTTGAGTGTAGAGATTACTATAAACAAAGAAACAAACAAACTTTAAAAAAGAAAAAGAACAGAAAACTGTAACTTAAGATTTTAGGTAAACTCCCTCCTTTTTTAAAAGATTTTATTTATTGGGGTGCCTGGGTGGCTCAGTGGTTTAAAGCCGCTGCCTTCTGCTCAGGTGATGATCCCGGGGTCCTGGGATCGAGCCCCGCATAGGGCTCTCTGCTCAGCAGGGAGCCTGCTTACCTTCCTCTCTCTCTGCCTCCCTCTCTGCCTACTTGTGACCTCTGTCGAATAAATAAATAAAATTTTAAAAAAAAGATTTTATTTATTTGTCAGAGAGAGTACAAGCAGGGGAAGCGGCAGGCAGAGGGAGCAGCAGGCTCCCCGCTGAGCAAGGACCCAGATAAAGGACTCAATCCCAGGACCCCAGGATCATGACTTGAGAGGAAGGCAGACACTTAACCAAGTCACCCAGGCGTCCCTGTATGTATGTATGTATGTGTGTATATATATATGTGTGTATGTGTGTGTGTATATATATATATATATATATATATATATACACATACATAAAATCTCCACAGCCACACACTCACACACACCTACACACACACACTTACACAAACCCTTTTTTCATTAATAAAAAGCTATTATATTATTCTGCTTTTTTATTCAGTGGAAGGTGCACTGTCATCCCCATTTCACAAATGAGAAAACTGTCACAGAGAGGTGAAGTTCCTTACCCAAGTTCAAGTTCACACAGCTAGGAAGTCACCAAACTAGGATTCTAACCCTGGGCATCTAGCTCCAGACCTTATAGGCCTATAAGGCTAAAGCCTGTGATTGAAAGCTTTGAGAGGTTTTGAATAGGGAATTGACACATTTCTATACTTTAAAAAGATCTTTCTAGATAATGTATAGAACAGATATAGTAGGATGGGTAGAAGTATGGAGACTAGTTAATTGCTCACATCCAGGCACATATGGTGGTGGTTTGTACTAGAGCAGCAGATGGGGAAAAGTGCCAAATCGGGACAGATCAAGGAGGTATAGCACTTACGGATTGAATGTGGAACTGGAAAGGGAAAGAAGAGTCATAGGAGACTTGTGAATTTTTGGCCTGAGTAAACAGTGTGAGACAGTAGCATTATTGAGCTGGGACACACTTGGGGAATGACCAGTTTGGGGGTAAAATTGAGTTTTGTTTTGGGGACTTCAAATTTGAGTGTTAAGGGGAGCCTGGGTGGCTCAGTGGGTTGGGCCTCTGCATTTGGCTCAGGTCATGATCTCAGGGTCCTGGGATCGAGCCCCGCATCGGGCTCTCTGCTCAGGAGGGATCCTACTTCCCCCTCTCCCTCTGCCTGCCTCTCTGCCTACTTGTGATCTCTCTCTGTCAAATAAATAAATAAAATCTTTAAAAAATTTTTAAAAAATTTTGAGTGTTAATATGACTTCCAAATGGGCATATTGAACAGACAATTGAATATACTGAATGTGGAGTTTAGGGAATTGGGTAGGGCTAGAAAGAAAAATCTGTTAAGTCATCATTGTGTTGGAGGTCCTTGGGCAGAGACTGGATGAGATTACTAGAGAATGAGTGTAGTTAGAGCAGAGGATGAAGAAAGAGTGACTCCATTCTCCTGTGCGGTACTCCTCACAGCGATTTCATACTTATTTCATGATTTCTCTGATGTTTTTCATCTCTTACTAGACCAAAGCTCCAAAACTGTAGGGACTGTGATCTCCTTCCCCCACCATTATATCTAACAACATGGTGCCTGGCCTTCAGCTGGGCTCAAAGAATCAAAGGCGTTTTTAAAAGGTGATTTGGCAATATGAGCATAGCAGTTGACTCACAATTCCATTTCTAGAAATATAACCCCAAACATGTTCAGAGCCATGCAAAAAGAAGTACATCCAAGGGTGTTTATTGTGACATTATCTATAATTGTGAAAAACTGGAGACAGATGACCTGCAAAGGGAGCATGGTCAATCTGTAAATATATACATGTAAATGCATAGAAAGGATCAGACAATGGTAACAACCCCAGATAGGGTAAAGAGAGTTGAAGTGAGTTAATGGGAATATTCACATGTTGCTATCAATACTTTTTGTTAATTTTTTACAACTTTTATACATCAATATATTAGTTGCATAATTAAAATCAATAAAGGTAAAATTTAAAAAAAAAATCAATAAAGGTGAAGGTGAAAGTTGTATGTATAAGATACATATATGTAATATGTGATGGGACAGACTATATTTTCCAAAGATGGCCACACCAACATATATCCCATTCCACATGTTTTTCTTACAATGTGATATGATGTTGGTTTTCCTCTATCAAGGATGGGGCTTCGTTTCATTCCTTTGAACCTGAGAGGACATTTGCAACTGCATGGACCAATAAAATGTGGTAGAAGTAATGCTGTCTGACTTCAAAGGCTAAGGTATAAAAAGAGATACAGCTTCCACCTAGCTCTATTTCTCTTAAGGCACTTGTCCTTGGACCCTATCCTTGGAATGCTATCATGGAAACCAGACCAATGTGGAGAGGCCATGTGTGTATGTATTTTGGCTAACAGCTCCAGCTAGACCCCCAGCTGACAGCCACCAAAACCCACAGAATATATAAGCAAACAATGCTTCCCATGATTCCATCTCCTAGCTTTTGAGTCTTCCAGTTGACATCCCAGACACTGAGGAGCTGAGTAAACCATTTCCACTGTGACCTGTCTCGATTTCTGAACCACAGAGATCATGAGACTTTTAAATATTTCACATGCACACATATTTTGGAAAAAGTATATATATATATATATATATACATATATATATATACACATACACATTTCATTTCTTATTCTTATCACTTAAGAGTATATAAAAAATACCTTTCCTTGTTAATAGATGCCTTAGTACTGCATCATTGCTAATGGTTTTCTTTATTGTATATTTTACTATAATTTAACAAACTCTTACTTTTGGACATTTTGGGTGCTGTAAACGTTCCCTATTTGAATCATGATTCCAAAGCACATATATGTGTACATATTTTTATGATATCCTTAAATATTTTGGCTTCTTTAAAAGATTTTATGTATTTATTTGGCAAAGAGAGACACAGCAAGAGAGGGAAAACAGCAGGGGTTGTGGGAGAAGCAGGTTTGTCGCGGAGCAGGGAGCCCAATGCGGGACTGGATCCGAGGACCCGGGGATCATGACCCAAGCCAAAGGCAGACACTTTATTGACTGAGCCACCCAGGCACCCTATTTTGGCTTAATTCTTAAATCTCTATTTCCTGGACAGAAATTGCCACTGGTTAAAGTATTATTATCAGCCCAATAAATGTTTATGTAATACAGTAATATTGAAAACACGGTTGTGGGCGCCTGGGTGGCTCAGTGGGTTAAGCCTCTGCCTTTGGCTCAGGTCATAATCTCAGGGCGCTGGAATTGAGCCCCACATCGGGCTCTCTGCTCAGCAGGGAGCCTGCTTCCCCCTCTCTCTCTGCCTGCTGCTCTGCCTATTTGTGATCTGTCAAATAAATAAAATCTTTGAAAAAAAAAAAAAGAAAGAAAGAAAACACGGATCTGTGCCCTTAAGAAACTCACCTTTTGGGATGCCCAGGTGGCTCAGTCAGTTAAGCATCAACTCTTGATTTTAGCTCAGATCATGATCACAGGGCTATTAGATTGAGCTTCTGCCCAGGGTAGAGCCTGCTTAGGATTCTCTCTCTCCCTCTCCCTCTGCCCTTCTCTCTCTCTCTTTCTTGCTGTCCCTCTCTAAAACAAACAAGCAAAAACTCACCTTTAGTAGAAGACAGGTGAACAAATATGGATAATACTTGTTCATATTTGTTCATATGTCAAGCACATGGATGTACATATTATATGTACAGATGTACATACACACATATAATATGTACATACATACATAAAATATGTACATCCATGTGCTTGACATATGAACAAATTCTCTATTTTGCAATGCAAATAGTGGTACAGAAAGTTTCCTTTATTTGCTGGAGAGCATTTATTACCAGTAAACCAAAAGGAAAGCTTCTACTTCAGATTTCATTTGCAAAAAATATATGTTAGGTCTTTTACTAGTATCATAATTTAAAGGAATATGTTTTGGCAAAACAAATGAAAGAAGCACATTCATGTTTAGTAGACTTTTACGTTGTTAACATATAAAATTCATAATCCTGCAATTGCTAGTCATTGCTATTGATTTTCACTCCAAATTTATTTGGGCTTTCTAGGATTTGTTTCCTTTTGCAGGAGGAGGGAGGATTTCTAGTATTTGCGCCGTATTTAGGTACATGCTCTTAAACTGTTAGCTGAAAACCATGTATAAGAAATACACGAATACATGCATGAAGCAAGAACTAAATAAGAGCTCGTTACACACAGATATTTTGCGTATCAGTACATACACGACTTGTGTACGGGTGGAAATAGTTTGGGTTATGGAAGACTCGCACAGCCAGGATGCTCCGTTAACATCACCCGCTTCACCCTCGCATTTTCACTTGTGCAGCAGCAACCTGAGGGAGTCTCCGGGTCTTTCTATCCACAACACTTGGCAACAGGTCCTAGAAGTAACTGGCAGTCATAATGACGCATACTTCCTAAACTGCTTCTAGAAACCGTGTAGCAAGGCAAATGTGGAATTGAAGAAACAAAATCACGACTCAATCTTGTACGATGAATGGGAAGCGGGAGACCTGGGTGGGCCAGGCCGCGGAGAGTAAAGGGAAAGCCCCGCCCGGTCTGTGCGGCTGGGGGGCCACCAGGCGGCGGGCTGAGAGTGCAGGCAGAAATTCCCGGCCCGGCGCGGCGACCTACAGCCCCAGTTCTTCCACCAGACAGCGGCCGGGAGACAATGGTCCTTTACTACTCCATGGACGTCAGCATGCTTTCTGTGTGCACTACACTCGAATACAGTGAAGCGAGCGGTCCATCAGAAAAACGCTGGTTAAAATTATCCCGGCGGGCGGTGCCAGCGGGCGAAAGCCGGAAGAGACGCCTTGACCACTCTCCAATAAGCCGGCTCCTCTCCTCCGCCGCCTCCCGCAGCCGTGGGCGCTGGCCGTGCCAGGTCACACTCAGGATCGCAGTGCTGGACTGCAGTGAAGCGCGGGCCGAAGGACGCTATCACCCAGCACCAGCCCGCGACCTCGCCGACCTCGGGTCGACCCCGGGCCGGAAGTGACGCAACTGCACTGAGCACTTCCGGAGCTGCGGAGACGGCTCCGCGGGAGGAAGGAGCGCGGGCCTTGACCGGCGTCGGCCCGTAGTCTCCGCCGCCGCCTCTGCGCCTGTGTCTGAAACGTCTGGCCCGGCCGGACCCGGTCTAGTCCGCCCGGGCTCGGCGGCCGCGGGCTGCGGCTCCCGGTAAGTGTGCGGCGCGGGTCGCGGCCTTGTTTACCCTGGCGGGCCGGGGAGGGGGGGTTGCCTCGCCGCGCGCCTCCCTAGCCCTACCGGGGCTCCGCCTTCATCGCCGCCCGCGAGGTCCCGGTGCCCCCGGGCGCTGGGTCCCGGTCTCAGCGCCCACGCCGCCCGCGGAGGGGCGGCTGAGGGCTACGGCAAGGCGGCGGGCGCCTGGCGTTTCTCGGTTTTTCCTTCTCCTCCCGTCTTCCCAGCTCCCGGAGAGGTCGGAGGCCAGCGCCTCTGACCGACCGGCGCCGGCGCCTCTGGGCCCTCCCCACTGGGCGCTCCGGGGATACGCGCCGCCTCCGGGGCCCCGCACTCTAGTTATCATTCGGAGCCCTCGCAGTGCCACCCGCGCAGTTAGTTAACGCTCGCCTCCGAAGGGTCCCCCTGCGCGTGGGTTCGGTGTCCTCGCGGCTGTCCCTGCGCCTCGGTAGAAACGTGCGGCCCAGGAGCTGCGCCGTCGTCTCGCTGGACGCTGCTGTGCTAGCCGCGGGAGGGACAACCGTGTTGTCGGATGACTTCACCTCTGTACTGATTGTTGCTCTGTCCCGTAGAACTTTCTGCCACAATGGACATATTCTATACTTTTGTTCTTAAGTAGGGTAACCACTAGGTAGGTACACGTGGCTGTTGAGCATTTGACTTATGGCTAATGCGACTGAAAACCCGAATTTTAGGGTTTTGTTTATTTTTTTTTTAAGATTTTATTTATTTATTTGACAGACAGAGATCACAAGTAGGCAAAGAGGCAGGCAGAGAGAGAGAGAGAGGAGGAAACAGGCTCTCTGCTTAGCAGAGAGCCCAATGCGGGGCTTGATCCCAGGACCCTGAGATCATGACCCGAGCCGAAGGCAGAGGACTTAACCCACTGAGCCACCCAGGCGCCCCTTGTTTAGTTTTTAAGTTAAATTTTAATAACCATATGGGGCTAGTGGCTACCGTATTAGACAGGCTAGTATAGTGTAAGGTTTTGAAACTAAGTTATTAGTTCATTTTTTTTAAAAAAGATTTTATTTATTTATTTGACACAGAGAGAGAGATCACAAGTAGGCAGAGAGGCAGGCGGGGGTGGGAGGGGGAGCAGGCTGCCCGCTGAGCGGAGAGCCTGATGCCGGGCTCCATCCCAGGACCCTGAGATCATGACCTGAGCTGAAGGCAGAGGCTCTAACCCACTGAGCCACCCAGGCACCCCTGGTTCATATTTTTAAAGTGCTAAGTAGTTTTCTTCAGAGATGTAGCCTTAGTAAATGACCATTCAGAGCCAAATGTTATGTCTGGAGTAAACATCTTCAGACTCGCCAAAAAGTTTTCTTGTCAACTTTAAACTGAGAGAGAAGTCTTCAGTTTGGATCCTTTAGCCCAGGGAGGGAGGGTGTCACGTCTTCTCAACATGTAACTTTGGTTCTGGGGAAAAGTAATTTATATTACTCCTTTTCTGTCTGGGGTGGAGGGATAATATTTAACATCCAAAGGAAATCAGAGCATTGTCATTAGTTCTTTTAATAAGGCAGTGACATTCAGGCCCCTTCGAACAATGTCAGCACTCTTTTGAGTATAATTAGGGATGTTTAATTTTGAAAAGATTAAAAATTAAGTATTTATTTATTTTTTAAAGATTTTATTTATTTATTGGTCAGAGAGAGAGAGGGAGAGCGAGCGAGCATAGGCAGAGTGGCAGGCAGAGGCAGAGGGAGAAGCAGGCTCCCTGCCGAGCAAGGAGCCCAATGTGGGACTCGATCCCCGGGACGCTGGGATCATGACCTGAGCCGAAGGCAGCCGCTTAACCAACTGAGCCACCCAGGCGTCCCTTAAGTTTTTATTTAAATCTGGACCTAGAACTCCCACCAAGTATGAAATGACTTTCTCTTTTTTGGAGGGTAGTATGAAGTTTTCCCCTGCTTCTTGAGTATTTAGTTAGTGAGAAGCCTTTGGGCAACATCTAAGTTCAAATCCTGGGGAGAAAGCCAGAGAAAGTGGAAACCTTGGTCTTCTGTTTGTTGTGATTCTGGAGGTAGCTTTGTGGATAATATTAGGTTCTCTGGAAGGGTGGTGGGGAGTTATAAATCCCTGTAGCCAGTGGATCTGGTGGAAGTATTAATTCTGGGTGATACCGGTTGCTAGCACTGTGATCCTGGCAAGTTACTTAACCTTTCTGAACTGTGGCTTCCTCGTTTGTTAAGAACGGAATTATAGCCACTTTGTAGGGTTTTGAAGATGAGAATGAGTCAAACCTGAAATTGGCCCTCATTAAATGAGAACAAATATTGGTAGTGAAATACTGTAGATGGGAGCAGTATTTATGAATTTTATTTTCCCAGTAAGCAATATCTTGAATAAAAATACAGGTAAAAGATAAAAGACATTAAGGGGTGCCTGGGTGGCTTAGTAGGTTAAGGCCTCTGCCTTTGGCTGGGGTCATAATCTCAGGGTTCTGGGATCAAGCCCCGTGTGAGTCTCTGCTCAGCAGAGAGCCTGCTTCCCCCTCTCTCTCTGCCTGCCTCTCTGCCTACTTGTGGTCTCTGTCTGTCAAATAAATAAAATCTTAAAAAAAAAAAAAGATTAAAAAAAATTAATTGTTCTTTACTGTTTTAGAAATAATCTTCCATAATCATTGTTTAGACCTTGATTTTCATTTGGTTTATATTTACTTGTCCATGTTTGAAGTATTTTTTCGGAAGTTACAAAGTTTTAGTTTTTTGAGAAATCCTGTAGTATAAAGAAATAGACATAAGATTTCTAATTGAGTGAGCAGGTAGTACTTATTTAGTCTTGCATAGTGAGCTCTGTATCTGAGCAGGTCAGATGACCCTTGAGCATGTCAGAAGAGAGGTGACGAAGGGGGATTAATATTGCCTAGTGGGCATCCTATTGGGGACATTCTTTATTTCAAAATAATTCTTGCATGAGTAAGTGAGATCTGAAATACTGGCAATATTTGTTTTTAGATTATCACCATGGAAGTTACTTTATACTAAAAATTTCATTTTAAGTCAGTTGCAATTTACTTTGTCCACTTCTGTGTAACATTTAGGGTTGAAATTGTGATAGTGACTTAGGGAATCTGAACCATAGGCATAAGGTGGTGGGTTTTCAAACTGAGGGAGGGAATTGGGTATCTATTTACATCACCAGTATTCTAGGTTAAATACTTATTGACTGTTTACTTTGAGCACTTTGTTTTTTAGAAGGCCATGTAACTCTTGTTGTTAATAACTCTTTTCAATATAATGGTATACATGTTTCTGTGGGACTTACAAGAAAATAATTTCATAGTTACTCTGCTCCCTTGCCGCTTATCCTTTTAAATGTCTTCACTTGTTAAAAAATAAATTTGCAAAACCAGGGTACCAACGTCAAAAATATAAATAGAATTTTCTCTTTTCATTTTAGATGGAAATTATATGACAGACTATTTGGGGTGACATCTTGAAAGATCTTCAAGAATTGCAGGTATTTTTAATTTAAAGATTAACTTTCTCCTACGGGAAAAGTACCATAGTTCATTTGTAATTAGGTGATTCTGCCATATAAAACAATTTGTTAAAAGTCAAACTAAAAATATTAGTACTGCTCTCATTAACGTGATTTTTTAAAAAACTGGGCATTTATGGTTAGCATGTCAAACTTAGATTCCCTGATTTTTTTTTTTAAGATTTTTATTTATTTACTTATTTATTTGACAGAGAGAGAGATCTCAAGTAGGCAGAGAGGCAGGCAGGGTGGGGTGCGGAGAGAGATTCCCCACCGAGCAGAGAGCCCAGTGTGGGGCTAGATCCCAGGACCCTGAGACCATGACTCCAGCCGAAGGCAAAGGCCCAACCCTCTGAGCCACCCAGGTGCCCTGATTCAGTGATTGATATATATATATCTATATAGATATCTATATATATCTATATAGATATCTATATAGAGATATAGATATAGATATATAGATATATTTTTTTTTTAAAGACTTTATTTCTTTGACAGGCAGAGTTCACAAGTAGGCAGAGAGGCAGGCAGAGACAGAGAGAGGGGGAAGCAGGCTCCCTGCCGAGTAGAGAGCCTGATGCAGAGTTCATCCCAGGACCCTGAGATCATGACTTGGGCCGAAGGCAGAGGCTCTAACCCACTGAGCCACCCAGGTGCCCCACCGATTCACTGATATTTTTATATTAAAAGGTGGTTCTGTGGTCCTTTACCTATTCACTACATGTTCTTTTTTTTTTTTTCTTAACACATTCATTTTAATGTGTTTTAATTTTTATTTTTTGTCTTAATGATGGTTGATTTTTTTGAGATTTTTTTGAGATTTTTTTTTTCCAGATTTTTTATGTATTTATTTTTTTAGAGAGAGAAAGCTTGCCCAGTGAGACCAGGGGGAGGGGCAGAGGGAGGAGAGATTCTCAGGCAAGACTCCCTGTGGATCTCAGGACCTTGGGATAATGACCTGAACCCAAATCAAGAGTTGGACCAACTGAGCGGTCCAAGCCACCCCCTTGAGAGCTTATCTATTTCAAATAGACTTTATATATACTTTTGTATTTAATCTAGATTTAGTTATGTAAGTTATTTATATACCATCTAATCCAGATGCTCTTGCATTTTAAAGTCTTACGAGTTTTTACATTTAAATCACTATTTAAGGGACGCCTGGTTTAAGATGTCTTGTCTTCAGCTCAGGTCATGATCCCAGAGTCCTGGAATTGAGTCCCAGATCGGGCTCTTTGCTCACTGGGGAACCTGCTTCTCCCTCTGCTGCTGTTCCCCCACTGCTTGTGTGGTTTTCTCTCTCTCTCTCTCTCTCTCACAAATAAAATCTTAAACAAAATAAATTACTGTTTAATATTGTTTCTTGCAGATAATCATTTGAAATAGTACTTTTACAGAAAAGTTAATGGGTATTTGCCAAAATCTTCTCTGTATATTTATAGTTTTCCTTCTCAATTGGATCAATTTCTTTGTGTTGAAATACCCCTTTTAAAGAATCAGAATCCTTTAAAACTGAAAAATCAGTTAACTTTTGCAGACTGGAGGAGGGTGTTGAAGAGCTTTGTGGTTTTTGTTTTCCTTAACTAACCATGCACCTGTTTTCCAGATATCTCAGAGTGATGTCTGTGAAACAGTGGTATTCTTTTCCTAGACATTATAGTAGAAACGAACTGTGTCATTTGTGTACTGTCTGTGTCACTGGTCAGTGGGGCATAACTAACGAAGAGATTTTAAATTTTGGTAATTCAGCCTTAAGATTGCTTCCCTGGTGGGCCTTCAGCTGTGAGATGTGCCTCCAGCTGTGAGATGTGCCTCTTTCTTAAGGACTCCTGCGGGAAGGATAAGTCCTTGGAAATTTGACCCTTTGACATGGAGTAGACAGCCTTCCTGACTCTTTCATTCCAGGCCCTTCATGTGAAGTTACCATTATTAGGTGCTTCTGCTCCTCAAGAAAAGAATTTCCCTTAGATAAGCCTGAGCAGGGAGATGATGGTGATGTTTCCTATATGAGACAAGAGTTGGAATCGGCCATAATGGGGATAGGACCAGGCTATACCGTTTTGATTCTTCAATTGTTACTGTTATAACTTCTCATAGTGAAAGTAAGTAACACTTATTTTTTTCTTTTCCTTCCTTAGAAGACAAAAAACACTAATGCATTTGAGAAAGTGGTAAAGCTTGGGGGGAGGGGAAAAAACTGCTTTCCTGATCTGCAACTTGGCTGGATGCTAAAATGTCTGTGGACATGAATAGCCAGGGGTCTGACAGCAATGAAGAGGACTATGACCCAAATTGTGAGGAGGAAGAAGAGGATGAGGACCCTGGGGACATAGAGGACTATTACGTCGGAGTAGCCAGCGATGTGGAGCAGCAGGGGGCTGATGCCTTTGATCCTGAGGAGTACCAGTTCACCTGCTTGACCTACAAGGAGTCTGAGGGTGCCCTCAATGAACACATGACCAGCTTAGCCTCTGTCCTAAAGGTGAGCAGTGATGTCAATTCCAAGTATAATTCCCCCAGTTAAATCTAAATACAAGCTTTTGCTAACTTATGTGTCCTCCAGATTGACTGAATGAGTGGCGCTGTAGTGAAACCAAATTTAGGACATGTGTTGGATTAGTTGGACCCATTTGATGCTTTACTTTGTTTTCTAAAATATGCATATTTAAGGCCCTCAAATTCCCAAGTTACTAAAAATTAGGAACGATGGAATAGATTCAGGATAGACTGGAAGTACATAGAAGCAGAATTATGTAGATTAACATGGTTTCAGAAAGTGAGTCTTATGAAACTTAATGAGGTAAGATATGATTAGCCTCAGAATCACCATCCTCTATACAACCATGTGTGAGTTTCTGGCAAATGTCTTGAGAAGTACCCAGGATGTGCCTTGAGTCATCAGTGCCCCTGGGCTAATTGAATTCCATTGTTTCATATACTAATGTCTAGTGTTGGAAGAGATTTTAGTTTGTGTTTCCTTGATTGGGAGGTATTTTATGGAAATTTAAAAGAGTTGGTTATTCCAGCAAGAATCTCATTTTTACCACTGAAATTAGCTTGCTTTTCAATCTTGCACCTCAGGCCACTTTTTGTCCTTATCATGTATGTTTTGTGCTATGTAAGACTAGTACCTAGTACACTCACATAAAACTGTGTACAGTAATTATTTTTATGTTCATTTAGACAATTTCCCAGCATGTTTCTTTCTCCTCTAATGTTGGCCATTATGTGAAAGTGGGGACATTTCTCTTATTTCACTGCCCTTCCTTCAAGAACTGCTATATGGATCTTGTTATCTGCCTAAATCGGAGGTCAGGGGAACATTGGCATGATTTCAACCAAATGATTTTCTTGTTGGTATTTAAATGGAAGTAACTAAGGTGTGCCATGTGTGATTTCTATAAAAGCTGCTTTATCTATTAGTTTAGGGATTTTTTTCCCCAGGTGGTCAGCAGAGGCTCACTAATACCTTAGATTTGGATACTCAGAGCTTTATTAGCAGCTAGTGGGAAGTTGAAATCTACAGCTTTTTTTGTGACTCCTTCCTGGAAGGGTTGCAGACTTCTTGTCTTGTGGTCAGTAGAAAACTTTGAAGAATGGAGACCCATCGGAACCTCTGGATTTGGGATTTCTGCCCCATAGCTTTAGTAAAGTTGCTGGGACCTCTGTTTCCAGAGGACATTTCTATGGTGGAAAAAGACATCATATCTCTTCTTCACAATGCACACACCTCTCTGGTCAACTAGTTTCTTTTGCTTTAACCATATTTTTAGGTTATGCACAGTGTTGGTATTTAAAATTAGAAAAGGTATTGTCAGGTGTGTGGCTGTGTGTTGACTAAGTTCATCAGATGTTTCATCTATGCATAAGCATCCTGTTCCCTCTGTGCTACCTTTCCTACCCTTTTGGGTGGGCCCAGATACCTGTCTTCGTTTTTTTTTAATTGTGGTAAACCATACATAACATAAAATTTACCAATTTTACATTTTTCCTTGCTATTAAGCTGATGCAGGGTTAGGCCCCTGGAAAAAGTCTTCTCCCCATAGAAAGCCCTCCCTTTCCTCCCTCCGAGTGCCTTCAGAGTCTAGCTTGTACTTTTCCTGGGTAGCCTCCTTGAGATTCCTGCAACACAGTGGTTGTACCTTCCTTTGTTCTCAGTGCCTGAACATTACAGCTCCTGTATGT